TTTTTTTTTTTTTTTGAGAGGATTCCTTAGGCCGAACAGTTAGTTGTCTGTTCTTTTCAAGCTTCCTTTTAAGAGAAAATATATGAGAGGTTCACTTTTCTTTAAAGATTTATTTATTTGAGAGAGAGAGCATGCACGCTCATGCGGGAGCAGGGGCGGGGGATCTTGAAGCCAACTCCCCACTGAGCAGGGAGTCCAACACAGGGCTGGATCCCATGACCCCGAGATCATGACCTAAGCCGAAATCAAGAGTTGGATGCTCAACCGAGCCCCCAGGCACCCCAAGAGGTTCACTTTTATAAAAGAACTGATTCCTGTGGGCTATTGGCTCTTTCTTCTACAGGTGACATGCATCTGAAAACAGGCCAGGAACCATGGAAAGCTGACCATCTCTGGTCATCATTTAAAAGGAAAACAATCCCCTCCATCTCAGGACAGAGTCTAAATAACTCTGAGTAGCCACAGAAGAATGAGCGACCAGATACTCATTTCAGAACTGCTTCCAGCACTTTCCTTATGTTCTTCTTTAATTTTAATCCAACCATCCCTCGTGCCCCCCTCTATGTGACCCATTCAGTTCCAGGCACTGGAACTCGTTCAGGCTTAGGCCAGCATAAGAAGAGTTTCATTCTCTTCTCAGCCTGCTCTGACTGCTGGGTTGAAGGTATTTCTATCCACACTGGCCCGCTTCTCAGCCCTGCAAATTAACAGATACAGAAACACGGCCTTTAAACATATGGTGCATTCTAATACATTCTGAATCTCCAGCATGGGAAGAACTAGATAGCAGTGACCACACCTTCTCAGTTTAGATGAATCAAACCAATCCTAATTATTCGAATTACCACCAACACACACACACACACACACACACCCGCACGCGCGGCCTCAACTTACCTGTGGTAATCCTTCCTTAACTTCAGAGAAAACAACGCAGTCACCACACCCCCTGCGGCGGACCTTGACCAGACATGTGCGTGCCCCCGCGGAGGGTGAATCTCCTCAGATCACTCCTGGTCCAGGCTTGTAGGGCCTATGGGGGCATCCCTGGGCAGGACTTTCGGTTGGGATTTCCAAAGAATTTGTGCCATGGCAAAAAGAGGCTACATCAGGACTCGGCTCCATGCTCCCAAACTAAATCAGCAGGCAGCACTCTGTGGCTGCTTTAATCAAGCCAGCCCAGGACTCCAGCCACCCCCAAGACTGCCAGTCAAGAGAACATGGGTCAGTTTACTTGGTGCTGTGAGGACTGCACCCAGAGTCTCCTTCCCAGGGCCTTTTTCCTTTCGCTGAACCAGATTAGGTCACTGTAAATTGTCCCCTAAAGGGGTCTCCTCCAACCCTGGGCCACTATCTCAGGCCACGGGTCTCCTCTTGTCCTCCAGGCCTCACTGATGCTTAGCAAAGCCTGCCCTGAGCATAGCCCTGGGTTCCAGATGGTCCATAAACAGGACTGAGTGGGCCGTGGGATGAGATGTTCTATCAAAGTGCGATGTAAATGCATTTATGTGATTTTTTTCCTACCAAAAGAGTCCAAAGATCTTGTCAGATATTCTGTTATCAGTTGGTTCAGACTGACATAAAATACCACAGACAAGGTGGCTTAAACCACAAAATTTCTTACAATTCTGGAGGCTAAATTCCAAGATCAAGGTGCCAGGGGTGGTTTCTGGTGAGACGTCTCCTCCTGGCTTGCAGATGGCCCTTCTTCAGTGTGTGTGTGTGGAGAGAGAAAAATCTCTATTCCTCTTTTTATAAGGCCATCAATCCTAACGAGTTAGGACCACGCCCTTATAAGCTCATTTAAATTTTGCCTCCTAAAAACCCAATCACCAAATACAAGTCACATAGAGGGTTTGAGCTTCAACATATAAATGGGGGGGGGGGGCACAATTCAGTCCACAAGTCCACAGCACGTCAAAGAAATATGTTTCTCACAGGTTAAAAACTACCAGTAAGCAGTGTGGGAAATTTCTGAAAGCAGAAGTTGAGTTCTTGCCCTTGATGAGTTTATATTCTGGTTGCATAAACAGACTTACATGTCATGAGAGAACAGGAACAGTTATTATAAACTGCTCAATAATAGGGAGTCAGTTTCTTGCTTAACTTACAAACTAATGATCATGATTTCAGATTCCTTTAGATGGATTCCTTCTCCAAACTCACTACTTGTAAACATAAAGGGCAAGCCCCTACGCCACACTTCCGATCATGGCTAGCACATTTTGAATTCTGAAACTCCAGTGAGGCTCAAGACAAAAGGTAAAACAGAGGTATCCTCGCCCAAGAGGAGATTCACAATGAAAAACATTCTGGAGACTAAGTAGAAAGACCCTCAAAGAGGCTCACAGTGCTATTCAGCAAATCGAGAGAGGAAGTCCAGATTTATCCCCATTGAGAGAAAATTCATAGGTCACAGCAAAAAAGCAGAGGCATTTCCCAAAAGCAGGAACTTCGGCGTACTAGATGTTACGCATGGCCAACGGTTGCAAAATGAGTGCTCCTCCAGCTCTGGAGACTGGCTAGAACGTTTTAGAGACACTCCAGCCTCACCTGGAGCCTCTAGCCTCCAGGCCTTATCAGGGCCTAAACCCTAACTGTGCGCAGCTGTGAAATCTTAGTATTCTGGTTGCCTCACAAACTAAACTTTTATACTGGTTATGGGCAGAACACCTAAAAGGAGGGGGAGCTTGCACTTCATAGAGCTTTCAGACAGGATGTCTGAGTGTGTGTGCATGCGCTTGCTTGATAATAAATCAAGCAAGCGGGAGGTGGGGTAGGGCGGAATTTCATCTGAAACTTGCCTTCTTTATAACATGGAAGCGAAGATGTGGAGGAAGAAATAAGTAATAATCCTCGCTGACCTCTGACTATTCGCAGCTAGGCGAGCTACCAAAAGAACCTAAGTTACGCCTGGTCAAACTGGCCCGGGTGGTTGCGCCAAGTTTCGGTTCCGTCCCGACGTACAGAAGAAATAAAGCCTCAGAGACGCTGAGGAGCCAGGCTGGGACAAGGTGCACCTGCTAGTCTCGGCCCCGGCCTCCCGAAGCCTGCACTCGGCCGCTCGAGCCCCCCGGGCGGCTTCCCTGCGGGGCCAGAACCCGCGCAGCCCGCGTCCCTGGGGCGGGCGGCGCGCCGCGTTCACTCACCCTTGTGGCAGTGGGACAGGAAGTAGGCGCGGGCTTTCAGGTTCTCCCTGTCGAAGCGGTCTATGGAGATGGTTGGGTACTCGGCCATCTGCCCCATGAAGGAACTCATAGCGCCGGCACAGCTCGGCGGACCGGCCCTCACGCCGCCTGCGGAAGCTGAGGTCTTCCGCCGGCGCGCCGCCACTTCCGGGAACCTCCCGCCCCCGCGCCATTGGCCCGCCGGATGCAGCCACGTCCAATCAGAGGAGCCCTGCGGCGGCGGGGCGGTGCCGAAGAGAGTCCCCGGAGAGTCCGCGGCCGGCGAACCGCGTGGTTAATTTGTCCGAACGGCGGGATGCTGGGCGGGGGCAGCCGGCTAGGATCTAGGACGTGGCGCGACGAGGGTGCCTCCTGCCGGCAACCTTGACTCAACACGGGTGGCGTTCTGGTGCAGAGTGCCCGTTGTCTGTGCAGGAACGGTATCGCGAAGGGAAACTGAACACCCGTAGCAGGTGCTCCACCCAAGGATGCAAAGAAGGGAAGGGGGACGCAAAGCTTTGCTTTGAAATCAGACTGCGTTCCACCTCCTGCTTGTCTACTGAGAGCTTGAAAGCCCAGCTCAGTTTCCCTTCTTTCCTTTTCTTCCCAGTTTCTACCTTAGGGAATAACCATAAGGATTGTATGAGAAAAAAACTGTATGTGACTCATGATAGATTCAATAACTGTTAGTTCCCGCTTCCATTTATTTATTTATTCATTTATTTATTTTAAAAGATTTTTATTTATTTATTTGACAGCGAGCACAAGCAGGGGGAACAACAGCAGGCAGAGGGAAAAAGCAGGCTCCCAGCCGGCTGAGCAAGAAGCCCACTGTGGGACTGGATCCCAGGACCCGGGGATCATGACCTGAGCTGAAGGGAGACGCTTAACAGACTGAGCCACCCAGGTGTCCCTCACTGGAGGGTATTTATTGGACCCCTTCCTAGCAAGTCTCCTTAAACACCACAATATTAATAATCAGAAACGACTCAAACACTCTTGAGATGTTGCTTTGTGCATACCATTATAATAAGCCTTGTAGTTATTACATAGATGACTAAGATGTGCCTTCAGGTAGGTTTTCAATCCATTTGGAGACAACACATTTGCAGAATATGGTAAACAAATGCCTCCACAAAGACACAAAGTAATGTGGGGGGAAAAATCCAAGAACAATGACTTTTAAGCAGTGGAATCAAGAATCAGAGTGCCACCCTCACAGAACATCAGCATTTTCCTGCAGCCACGGTACTCAGAATTCTATTCAAATACAGATTTCTCATAAGGTGAAGAAAAAGCAAGGGAGGAGGACGAGGGAGAGTGGGAGCGGTATAGACATCATAATCATTTGAGTAGAGCATTCTGCCAGTATGCTATTGCCAACAGCTTTGATTTCGTATAAGATGGTTTGTCTTAGAATAAAGGAGGGCTCAGCTGTCTATACCTAACAACAAATTCTGCAGTGAGACTGTGATCTGGAGAATCTGGTGTGTCTACCTCTGACAGGATCTGGAACTCCTGGCAAGGCAGGTCAAGATAATATTCATATGCTTATCTATCCACTTATTTATCCTCTCTTCTTTCCACAATGGATACAGTATGACAGAGTAAAGGGAAATAGGATAAGGGGGGAAAGATAGGTCAGAAAACAGTGAAGATGGGTAGGCACAGCCCACAGACATGCACACGCTGTTGAAAGACGTGAGCCAATTATTTGGCTCTTCTAGAGGAAGCCACAATCCCTTACTAGCCTTACGCATCCTCAAGACACAAATAGTACAGATTTTCAGGAGAAGTCAAACTTTCTGGATACTGAATCCCAAGAGAAATTCCTCCTGTGACCGCTAATAAAGAAAACGGAAATGTAGTCACCAACATCAGCTATGATCTGCTTCCTCATCCCGCACTCGGGAATCTTTCTGCAACTCTAAGCTCTTCAGACTTCTAAGTCCCTGATGTGTTCTGTCTCAAAGGCACTGAAAACTGCTACCAAGGGTATGTTAAATACCAAAAAATTCGTTTTGAGGTAGGTATAAGTCTGTTGGGAAATCACTACAGGATATATTTTTCTTCGCTTATAAACTGTTGTCAATCTAAATTAACTTATGTTATAAATTTACTATATTCTATGCTATTCCTTCAGAATAACAGACATAAAATGTCATATGAGGAAGTATACAAGGAGATAACATGTTTTTTAAAAAGTGTATTGTGTGCTAGAACTGCTGTAACAAGCACCACAGACTGGGAGACTTACACAACAGAAATTTAATTGTCTCGGAGTTCTGGAAGCTGGAAGTCTGAGATCATATTGTATGATTCCACTTATATAAAATTATGGAAAGTGTGAACTGATCCAAAGTCACAGAAAGCAAGTCAGTAGTTGGTTGGGGGCACAGGAAACAAGTTCATTAACTTGATTGTGGTGATGATTTCATAGGTGTATGCATTATGTCAAAACTTATCAAATTATAGGCTGTTGGGGCGCCTGGGTGGCTCAGCCATTAACTTTCTGCTGTTGGCTCAGGTCATGATCCCAGGGTTCTGGGATCCAGTCCCACAGTGGGCTTCTTGCTCAGCCGGCTGGGAGCCTGCTTTTTCCCTCTGCCTGCTGTTGTTGCCTGCTCGGCGGGAAGCCTGCTTCTCCCTCTCACACTCTCCCTGCTTGTGTTCCTTCTCTCGCTCTCTCTCTGTCAAATAAATAAATAAAATCTTCAAAAAAAATTATAGGCTGTTAAGTATGTGCTAGTTATTGCATTTCAATTATTGCTCAATGGATTTGTTTTCAAAATGTTTGGAGAGGGTATGGGAGAATGTGGACAAAGTGAACAAGATTGGCAAGGATATCCCTTCTCTACAGGAGTGAAGAAGACACTGCATGGCTAACTCACATAACAGAAGCTGGCTTTGAAAAATCAAAATGTATGTTTATTGTGCATTAGTTTCATATACATCTCCATCACCAATATCTCTTCTTCACACCTCCTACCCTCAACCCTCTGATGGATTAAAGTGTTATTATTCAACTAAGAAAAACTAAAGTCTACCCAAAGTCCCAGAAAATGGTAACTGTTCAATATATATTAGCTTTTATTATTATTTACTGGGCATCCACTAAGTGCCAGACACTGTGCTTGAACCCGGATGTATATAAAGGAATCAGCCTTGGAACAAGACCTACAGTCTGACAGAAGTAGAAACTCGTGGAAATAAATAAATGCAAGACGTTTTACAGTGCTTTATTGGAAGCCTGCTCAGAACACAGTGGAGACCAAGCAGAAGAGCTCAAGTCTGCAAGGAGAAAGAAAACTTAGCAGAGAAGGTAAACTCGAGTTCAGCTTCCAGGCCCAGGAACAGCTTAAGTCCCAGGAATGAGCATTTATTCAGTCTGCACACTGCAAATAGTTCCTTTTAACCAAAGCACTGCAATCAAAAGGAATGAAATAATAGGGACTTACCAGGGGAAGTCAAGGCTAAACCAGCTAAAGGACTAGACACCAAGCCAAATAGTTCAAACTTTAACTTGAGTGACAGCAAGAAGCCTGGGTGGTTTGAAACAAAAGAGTGACAAGTGAGATCAGAACAGTTTCTCAACGTGTGGGCCCTGGAAGAGCATCACTAACAGTATTTGGGAACCTGTCAGAAATGCAAAATCTCTCCCGCAACCCAGACCTACTAAATCAGAACTCTCCAGCAATCTGTTTTAACACACTCTCCAGGGGACTCTAATTGATGCTTAAGTTTGCAAGCCCCTGGATTTAAGTTTGAAAGAGCACTTAGGCAGTTCTGAGGCAGGACCTCTGGATAGGAAGCTGCCACAATATTCCAAAAAATGTGATGGTGTGGATTCATTTATTCACTCAACAAATAGTCCCTGACCATCTACTATGTGCCGCACACTGTTCTAGACATTAAAGATACAGCAGCGAGCAAAGCAGAGAAAAACATGTGGCAATGGAATGTACATTCTAGTGGAAGTCATGTCTATCATTTATATAGTTCTAGGTGCTCTCCTATATGGTTTATATTTGTTATTTCATCCTCACAACTACCCCATCAGATAGGTACACTTTTTGTCTTTACAGTTAAGAAAAGTGAGGTTCAGTAACTTGCATGAAGTCATGTGACAACTTAGTAGAAACCAGATCCAAATCCAAGGTCATGCTTTAGACGCGATGCTATACCGCTTCCTAGTGGCCATGGTGGCGAAAGATATTAATTCGAAATACATTGCTTTGGCACCTACTGTGCGCTAGGTACTGTTCTAGAAATTTGGTCAACAAAACCTGTCTTTATGGAAATTATGTTCTTGCAGAAGAGAAACAATAAAATTAAGAAAGAAGCTATTTAAGTAGTATAATAGATGATGATAAGTGCTGTGGACAGAAGAAACACTAGAACATAGTAAGGGGGATAGAGAGCATGATGCAGTAGCCACAACAAAGCCCTTAATGTGGAAGCTGGGCCAGGAACAGCCAGGAGATCAGTGTGGCTGGAGCAGAGTGATCCAGGGCACCAGAGCAAGGGAAGAAGAATTGTATGCAACCCTTGTAGGGTTTTGTTGGTTTTTACTCTGTAAGATGGGAGCCATTGCAAGACTGTGAGCAGAGAAATGATACAGTCCAAGTTATGTTTTAAACGGATTGCACAGATTGTTGTGTTGAGAATAGACTAGCGGGGAACCAGAGATACCTGTTGGGGATTATTGCAATAACCAGAGTGGGGTAAAATGATGGTGGCTTGACCTCGCTGGGAACAGAAAAGCCAACAGTGACGGATAAGGAGGGCAAGACAAAGAGTGGACTCTAGGAGCCATTTACTGACGGGGGAAGATTGTGGAAGGAGCACGCTGGGGAGGGGACGTTTGGAAGGGGGTTGTTAGGACAACTAGGTGGATGTTGAATATAGGTTGCATATACAAGTCTGGAATTCAGAGAGAGATCTGAGCTGAGGAAATAAATTTGGGCGTTATAAGTAAATCGATAAAGGTAAGGATAGAGAAACGTCATTTAAGTTATGGAGGTTGTTTACTGTAAGTTCACTAATTGTCAGGCACTAAGCTCTAACCTGTGAATTGACTGGTTCATTTAATTTCAACAAAATGAGAAATGGGGTGGGACAGATAGGAGGTACCTTCTCCCAGGAACCAAAATCGCCAACGGAATTCTGTCTGCTACTGAAGAAGCAAATTACACATTCTGCCCGATTCCTCTGCCAAATAATCAGCCCCCGCGAGCTTCCCATCCTGGCTTCAGCTTTGACGCTCCAAACTGGCCAGGTCGCCCAGCCCAGCCCTCGCACCTGCGCACAAGGGCCCGCTCGCAGGGGGCGGGGCCGGAGCTGGGCGCTCCGCCGCGCCACGCGTTGCTAGGAGACGCGAGGGTCGCCGAGGCGCGACAGTTGGCCTCTCGCTGCCCAGCCCACGGATTCCTGAGTGGAGAACTCGAGCACTGCCGCGCTCTCCTGGGAGCTCCCGGGCGGGGTGCCTCGGCCTCTCCAGATCGGCCAGCGAGGGTAACCACGGAGAGCTGGACCCAGGGGCGGGGGGAGGGGCGGGGGGTGGACTCGTCCCGAGGAACCTGAACAGTCCGCCAGCTCCGCTGAGCCTGCCCGGGCCCCGCCCCGGAAGCCTCGGCTCCGCCCCTTCCGCTCCGGCACGCCTTTGTGATTTCTGAGGTTTGATTTTCTTGCTTATTTTCCGGGTTAGCTACGGTTTTTATTTGCTACCCCCTGAGTTTCAGAATCTGATTTTCCAGTAGCTTCCAGGCCAAGCCGCGCCCCCTGCGGCTTGATGTATTCTGGGGTCTCCTTTCAGAGTTCTCCTGTGGACCAGTCATTTGACCCCCAGTTTTCAAAACTCTTTCTCCGGCTCAGCCTTCTGTGGCAGATTCACATACAGAATTGGTGATTTCTGTCAGAAGAAAGGCTTGAGGGACTGGAGAAGGCATGGAGTGGCTTTATGCTGCACAGATGCAGATTAGCATACCTAGACCATGGACTACAAAGGCATATTTGGGAAACCAGTTTTGTTTTTCAACTGACCCCCCAAAAACTTTGGGAAGGGAAGTGTGCGGACAAAAGAGACCTTATGATGAAACCTTTTCGCTGTTCGGGAAACAAGCCCAGGGATGTTAGCTGATTGGCTCCTTTGCCATATCCTGATGCGTCTAGGAACAGAATAAAATAGGTACAGAAATGGAAGGAATACTAATGCTCTTGGGGTTTTAATACAACTAAAGGTAAAAAGCACTTTTCAGAGTGAACAAAAAAGTGAAAAGGACTTTTGCATAGAAGGGAGTTTGAGATGACTGGTACATCAAAGGCTTCTACTGTCAGATTAAAACCTTAGATTGTCAAGGGTTTGATATTGCTGGGTTTAGAATACCTATATAAACCTAATACTGTTTAATAAAATTAGATTTTCACAAAACTAGAAAGTCAGGCCATTGCCATTTCCTGTTTCTGCAGCTACAACTTAGTATTATAAAAATCAGATGTGTTTTATAGTAATTATTTTTTGCCACAACTCTCAGCAAAGTAAACCACTAAATTTCAAAGTGCTGAATGTTACTAGTGGGATTAATATTGCCCCTGAATTTCCCAGGATTACTGAAATATTTCATCGAAAAGTTATTAAGTTGATCTTTCCCAATTTTAGTTTCATTCTGTTTTTAATAAGTAGAAAGTAAGTTAAAAGAGAGACAAGGGCGCCTGGGTGGCTCAGTTGGTTAAGCAACTGCCTTCGGCTCAGGTCATGATCCTGAGTCCCGGGATCGAGTCCCGCATCGGGCTCCCTGCT